GCACCGCCCTCTAGGAACACGTCCGCCGCTGTGCCAGCCTCGGCGCCTGTTTCACCATCGCCACCCATTTCGCCCTCGCCGCGGGGCTGCTCGTTGGCGGCAGCATCGTCGTCAGTGCCCACAGCCGACTCATCCCACGTGCAGTCTTCGGGTTGTCCCCAACGTGGAAGTTTAAGCGGCGGAGCTTCGACATACATATCGGCAGACTTCTCGGTCTCCGGTTCAGACACCCACTCGTCGAACGTCGCTGGCAGCAGAAGCTGGAGCACGGGCCGATTGTCCGTGTGAGCAGAACCGTTAGCAGGCAGTGCCGGAGGAGCAGGAGGAGCGGGAGGAGCAGGTGGAGGAGGAGGAGCAGGCGGTGCAGGCAATGCTGAAGGCACTGGTGGCTCATGAGACTTTGGAGGCTTACGGGTATACCACCCGTTGTCGGTTAATCGCCACGCGCGCTTCGGTTTCTTCTTAAAGAGGAAGTGGGTCCCAGCAAATTCCACCATGGCTTCGCCAACCAGGTGGGCTAGAGCAAGAAACTGAATGAAAAACAGAAAGTGGGGGTGCAGAATTGGGAAACGAAGGGGACACCTGCTGGGTTGGCGGCTCGGGGTCCTCGTCAGTTTCAGGCGGGAAACCCCCGCCTGAACCCGCTGAGGACCCTGCATGGCAGCATAATTTCTGCGCTGGCAGGGAGTCTTCTGCACTCTCCGAGAGGGTTCGGATAAAATGCACATTCCATGCAGCAGATGCCGCTGTGATTGGGTCCCGGCAAGTTTCACGTCATCGCTGGCAGGTGTGATGCTTCTAGACGAACGTGTGGGTGGGAAACCGAAGTGCGTTGTTGTTTTTGCCTGGAATCCATGCAAGATCCTGCGTGATGCATGGTCGCCTGTATTCGCCTTAATGAGGGCTTCAATTTGGTATGATTAAACGTGAAATTGTTTTCGAACATATTAAAAGCGCATGCGCTAATAAAGTATACTCAATTACAGGCGTACCCCCCCAAAGAAACACTGTTTTACTATAAGCGGACCTGCGCTTCTATCCGGGATGGGGTGATACGGTAATAGTTGTGAAACAGAGTTGCGGGAAAATGAATATTGAAGGTGTGACTGATCGAACTGACAACACAATGAAGGCACTTGATAGTATAGTGACTGCCCTAGCTAGGCGGTCGGGAATACGAGGTTGGTTGCATGTTTGGCGAATAGAAAACCGAAGTCTACGCGAGGCAGCCTCGGAATCGTGGATGTCGGCCGAACGTGCGAAGTCTGAAAGTGTTGGGGTTGTACTCGCAGCAGTCAACCTCGATAAGGAAAAGGAATTTTCCTTACAAGCACTAGCTAGCTCGCACGCTCTGCATTATTGTTTGCTTGTTTTAGCTTATATGCATTTGCTCATGATTTTTCTCATACTTTGTACTCATTTGGGAATAAAATAACTCATTGGGAGGTATCGGTTCAATTGCGGTTTTGGATTAGGTAGGACAAGTTATAAGCAGCAACTGGGTTGCCTGCTCTTTGCCAAAGTGACATACAGGCCAGATCTTTCCTACATCACGAGCCAACTGGCTTAGTACTCCCGCACATCAGTAGCTGAGAATCTACTAGATCTTCAGCGCGCCCTGCAGTTCTTCATCTCCACGCAAAACATCGGACTCTGCTACTCAACAATGGCAACCTCGTCCTTCAACCTCATCGGCTACGTGGATGCCGATCACGCTGCTGACCTCGACAATCGATGCTCCAGAACTGGATTCATGTTTCGCCTCGAACCGACAAGACCAATCTTGTGGAACTTGCAGAAGTAGGCGCTTGTTGCCATGTCATTGGCTGAAGCTGAATTAATCGTTGCGACACTAGTAGTTCGCGAAGGACTTTACGTGTAGGAATTCCTGCAAGAAGAAAAAATCCCAGCCTTGCCAACCTTATGCATGCACTGCGACAACCAGAGCTCGATGATCGTAAACAAACCAGGATTCGTCAAAGGACGAAGTGGACAAGAAGAAGGTTGACATGTCCTACTGGCCAACAAATGCCATGGCAGCCGATTTCCTCACGAAGCGACTGCCCCATCAGCAGTATTATGATTGCTTCGAACTCAGCGAAGTGGTCAAACGGGTCAAGACGTGCTACGGCGAGGAATGAAGGGGGTGTTACGAACAGGAAATTGAGAAGCATTACTGTGCATTTCTGCCAATAGCAAAGAACGGGGAATACAAAAGAGAGTACGAAAGTTGAAGGGTTAAAGCGACGCGTACGGTTGGAAAAGGCGCATCTGGACCGTCGGAGCAGATGACATCGGGCAGCTGCAGGAGCGAGGAAAAAGGCGGGAACAGTTTCGTAACTGTACACGCCGCACGGTTGGGTTTGCACTTGGATTAGGGAATGTACTTTATAGAGTACATGGCCAGCTAGGATGTTTGGGATTCCCATGTACTCTTATTTATACGAATGTAGTTGCATGCTATTATCATCTAAGTCGTTTTACGTTCACTGTAAGAAAAATACCGTTTCCTGCACCACTGTTCCCGCCAACAGTTCTCAACAGAACATCGTTACCACTCGCGACACTCGCCTCGATACTGTTCCCGCCACTGTTCACGACGCGACCCAACCGCACGTTCGGTTTGTAACCCGCGCTCCCGGTGTTCGCCTCGACAGTTCTCGGTGTTCCCGGTGCTCCCCATGTTCCCGGTGCTCCCCGTGTTCCCAATGTTCGGTGCTAGGCCCGTAGCACACCCCATTTTCACATATTATCGTTACAATGCTAGCTTTGCTATATATTCTTCTCTCATGCCTTCGCTTAATGCACTGTTTGCTTCGATAGTGCAATTCTCGCTCGCTCACTCTTGCATGTCAGAATCTCAGCCACTAACCACTGGGATAAAAGGGCTTGTTTGTGTAGCGGGTGAGTGCGCCCATAACCCCCCAGGCCGACATGCCTGTAACCCTTCCCTAGGATCATCGGGGATCTCCAGTGGACCTCTGACACCCCCCCGCACTGGGATGCCCGAAGTGCATACACCGGGATTCGAACCCGAGACCTTCGCTCTGATACCATGTCAGAATCCCAGCCACTAACCACTGGGATAAAAGGGCTTGTTTGTGTAGCGGGTGAGTGCGCCCATAACCCCCCAGGCCGACATGCCTGTAACCCTTCCCTAGGATCATCGGGGATCTCCAGTGGACCTCTGACATTGCACTCGTAACATTCACACTGGGGCTGTTCGCCAGCACCATTATATCTAAAAACCACGGGATAACGACGGGATCAGGAAGGTGGGTCTCGCCTTCCTGATCCCGTCAGTTAGAGTTCGTTAACCTCCGTCAGCTTGGTCAGCCCGCGAAAAATGTGCCGAGCCTCACTTACCGTCCAAACCAACAAACAAACTGGGCGTCTGGCGAACGCACACTTTTGTACACCAATTTTGACATTTCGATGGCATATGGAAGCGGGGACGAAACTTCCTCCCCAGGCAAAACACCATCCCCTAGCCATGCCATCGCCATGCTGCGTTTTTCAAAGCACAGCGATGGCACAGCCGTCGCATTGCCGTTCAAAAGGGATCGAGGGGAAGGTGGGAATGGAGGTTCCCGACGCGGTTGAGAAATTTCTCAACCGCAGGCGCAGAAGTTTCTTAAACGGCATTTCGCCCAAACCTCGGAGGAGGGTTCCGCCCCCGTTTCCATATGCGGTCGCGATGCTGATGCCATCGTTTTCAATTTAAAAAACGATTTGCTGGCGAACAGCACCACTGATCTGAGGTCACATTTCTTCCGCTGCGAACCTTCCTGAGGTGATCCTAGGCACGACCTAATTTCTGATCGCAACAGTACCCGTAGCGGTCAACCCCGATAAGGAAAAGGATTTTTCCTTACAAGCACTAGCTAGTTCTCAAGCTCTACGTTACTGTTTGCATGATTTCGCTCATGCTTTCTCACATACTTCGTACTCGTTTGGGAGTAAAAGGACTCATTGGGTGGTACCAGCTGAATTGCGGTTTTGGGTTAGGCAGGAAAAGTGATGAGCAGGTTTCGGCAGTGGGAGCGGGAGAACCAAGTGCGACATGCGCGTCACGGCCCACGCCCACACACATCCATCCATGCTCGATTCCAGCAATTCGTGTGACTTCATTTTCCGCGTCATCGCCTCGCATAGCCCCGTCGCCGTTGTGCTGCTAGCGGTACTGCGTTGAAACCGACGCTGCGCAATCGGCGCGCGCGGGTGGCGGCGCTGCGGTTGTGAGTTCCGCCATGCGGAAGGCGGCAGGAGGAGCGCCTCGTTCCCGCGGTGAGGGGAGTTCCCCCCCCGCTGCACCTCGCCAGGGTCCGGGGAGCACGGAAGCAGATGGCGCAGATGGCGGGGAGGTGCCGCTATTTGGGCGGGCGGAACACGGCGGAGGGCAGGGGGCTTATGGCGCACTTAATGGGGGGAGAAATTATGGCGACGAGAATTATGGCGGAGGCGGCGGGTTTCCGCCTGAGGAGATTTACGGACGGGGAGGGGGAGCTGGCGGGTACGGGGGCGGGGGAGATGGCTGGGGTTACGGCGGAGGGTACGGGGGAAGCAACGTGGGAGGATACGGGGGAAACATGGAGGCAGGGGGCGCTTATGGTGGAGCAATGGGGGCGGAATGGGGATATGCGGAAGGGAGTCGAGGGGGGCCGAGAGGGGAAGGGGGAGCTCATGGGGGCATGGCGGGGCACGGTGGGGAAGGCATGGGGGACGCTCTGCGCCGTCAGGGGGATGGGGGGAGGGTGCAGGCCAAAGGGGAAGGCAGGGAGGCGGAGGAGAAGGGGAAGAAGGGAGGAGGCTGGTGGCGGTTGTTTGGGGGACGGAAGGGCGGAGGGGGGGAGAAAGGCGGGGACGTGGGGGGAGGCGAACAAAGGAGGTGGGAGGAAGGTGCGGGGGAAGTGGGGGAAACGTGGCAGCAATGGGGCGTTGGGGGGTATGGGGGCCACCCATCGGGAATGAGCTGGGGAGAGGGGGGATGGGGGTATGGCATGTACGGGGGGGGAGGATATGGCACACATGGGGGAGGGGGTGGTGAGGTGTACGGGGCAGCGGGGTATGGGACTGGGGTTTATGGGGAAGGGGGTTATGGGGCGAATGGATATGGGGATGGGGGAAATGGGGCATGGGGATATGGGGAAGGTAGATATGGTGAAGGGAAATATGGGGCAGGGGTGTATGAGGCAGGGGGTTATGGCGGTGTTGTGAGGGTAGAGGACGGGATGGGAGGCAACAGGGTGGCAGAGCCGGGTGTTCCTCACAGCCCTGCTGCTGCTGGGGCTTCCAGTTCTGCTGCTGCTGCTGGTGGTGCTGGTACTGGCAGTGGAGCAGAGCAGGCAAGGGGGACAAGCGCGGGAGATGCAGGGGGGGAAGATGGGGGCGCAGCAGAGGCTGGGCAGGAGAGGCAGGGCAGTGCAGGCAGCAGAGAGGCGGGCGGCACGGCTGGAGGTGGGGGCGGGGGCAGGCGGTCGGAGGGAGCAGACACACTGGCAGGGACTGCGAGAGCAGGGGCAGAGACTTGGGGAGTGGAGGTGGCAGGAGCGGCAGGGGCAGGGGCAGGCGTGGCAGTGGAGGGCGTGATGACGACGGGGCTGACGACAGCGGGGTTCAAGGTGCGGCGGCGGGGGCGGCCTGTGGTGCACGGCAGGGCGTCGGGGTACGATGATGACGAGGCGTGGAACCCTGGGGGCGACCGCAGTGGTGCGGCGGGGTGGGGGGCTGAGGAGAGAGCGAGCGTGAAGGGAGGGGACGGGAGTGTGGGGGCGGGGGAAGCAGGGAGTGAGGAAGGGGAGGAGGAAGGGGACGGAGGGGATGGAGGGAGTGGGGAATCGGAGGAAGAGGGGAGTGTGGGTTCAGGAGAAGGAGAGGATGAGGAGGGAAGGAAAGGGGAGGAGGGAAGCAGAGGGGGCAGCGATGGTGGATCAGAGGGGGAGGCGAGGGAGGGCGAGGGTGCAGGGGAGGCACGGCAGGAGTGGGGCTCTGAAGCCTCGCCAGGCGCATGGAGACAGTACCCCTCTGCCCCGCCTCACCACCATGCCTTTCAGCCCCACCCGGCCTTTCCGCATTCCCAGCACCCCTGGGAGCACCAACACCCCAACGAGCACTGGCAGGCGCAGGGCAGGCAAGCACAGGGGGGGCACCCCTCGCCTGCAGCGCATGGGTCCTGGCAGCACGACCCCTGGCAGCATCACGGCGCGCACCCACATGCCGCCCACGTGGTTCACCCTGCTGCGCACCACCCACTCCCTGCCGCCGCCGCTTCTGCTGCTGCTGCCACCGCTGTTGCCACCGCTGTTGCCCCTGCCTCTGCGTCGCACAGCCCCCTCACAGGCAGCCCTGGCCCGCCCCCTCATGCCCTGCCGCCCCAAGGCACTGGGGCAGGGGCATGGGGAGGGGCAGGTGTGGGGGCATGGGGAGGGGGATGGGGAGGAGCAGGGGGTTGGGGATGGGGAGGGGCAGGAGGGGATTTGCTGGGAAGCGTGCATGCTCTGAGAGGAGGGCCGGGGGAGGCAGGGGAGGGGCACCTGGTAGTAGAGGGTTGAGGCGGGGGAGACAGGCAGGCGGGGGGAACGAGAAGGATTCAGGCAGCGACAGGGGGGAGGGGGAGGGGAGAGGCGGAGCAGCGGAGAGGAAGGGCAGGGGCAGCAGGGCGTGTTCGCGGGAGTTGGGAGGTGCCGAGGGGAGGAGGCGGCGGGTGGGCAAGGCAGGGTGGTGGGCGGTGCAGTGGCAGCTGTGGCGGCTGCAGCCTCGGCGCTGGGTGCTGCTGCAGGGTGGCCTGGCAGTGCTGGCACTGCTGCTGCTCGCTGCCACTCTCGCCTCCCTCGCTGCATTGTGGACGCAGGGAGGGCTGGATGGGGGAGATGCGGAGCAAGGAGAGGGGGAGGGGGGAGTGAGACTGCTGGGGGAGGGAAGGACGTGGGGAGGGGCCAGGAGAGGCGAGCAAGGGGTAGCATTGATGCCAGGGAGACGCAGGTCGGGGAGGGGGAGGGGCGAGAGAGGAAAGGGTTTGCCTCGAGTGGCACTTGGAAGGGCGGGGGAGGTGCGTGCGGTGGGGCGGCGAGGCACGGACGAGTATGAGGCGAGCAGTGAGGGCGAGCGGATGGGCGAGTGGGACGAGCAGGTGGGGCTGGAGGTGGACGTGGGCACGGCGGCACCACTCCTCCTGCACTCCCATGGCCTGTGAGTCATGCAAACACTGCGAGTTATGGCTCTGGTCCAGTCCGGTGGATGAAAAGACTGCACAGTTGCTGCGTCCAGCATTTGCTCGTTGTGGGTGTGTGTGTGCTGCCACCCTATTTTCGCTGGCGCCAGCGAACAAACCTGTTGCGTGCGGCCAGGACGGCAGCACGCACACACTGACCCCTCGCAAGCACCTGGACTCAGAGGATGCAATGTGAAGAAGTAAGATGGTGGAGGCCTTGGAGAGTTGGATGGGTGGTACAGATGTCCAATGCATGGTCCCACTGGCAGTGACGGTAGCGTCAAACTGGTATAAGTCGCCTGCACACTTGTGCGAACCTGAAGTACCTCTCACACTAAGCCTGTAAAAGAATATTCGGTATTCGAGAACTATTCGATATTCGTTCGAATACCTGAATTCGAGAGAATAAGAAACGACCATGTATTCGAAAATATTCGCATCACGGGTATTCGTGAATGTAAAATATTCGGGTAACGAATATTCGAGGTATTCGTTACTATTCGATATTCTACCCCCCCCCCCCCCCCCCCCCCCCCCCCATACTTTCCCTTCATGCGGCTATCATCGTTGGCAGTCTGTGATAGTAGCTGGACAGGGGTTGAGTCGTGATGTTGGTAGTATAAGGTACATTGTATCACCCTGTGTCGAACATGCATTACCTGTTTGACACTGCCTCTACAAGATCGATTTTTGAAACTTAGTCGTACTCGATTCGAATTCTGCAGTATTCGAATCGTATTCGTGTTCGGTTTTGTGTCAGTATTCGAATCGTATTCGTCTTCGGTTTTGGGTCAGTATTCGGTCAAATAAGAAACCACACATTATTCAGAGAATAGGGTGAAAAAATATTCGTATTCGTATTCGTTGTTACCGGCTTATCTCACACCCATCCTGTGGTTGAGTGGGCCACAATGCTGCGCTCGTGCTGCCGTTCCCTCAGCCAACGCCCTTCAGCTCGTCCATGGCTCAAGCTGCTGCTTCATTCACTGCCAGTCTGCTTCTGCCCTCTCCGCCATTCTCTCCTGCCCATGCACCTTAAATAAGTTTCCTCTCTTGAATACACCCGACATCTCGCATCCGCTGTGCCTCCTTTCACACGTCATTCCCACCTTCCCATCCCGCTTCGTACCTGCCACCCACGTTCCCCTCCTTCCCCAACCTCTCTGCTCACCAGCACGGCCGGGGGGGAGGCGAGCGGTGAGAGTGGGGTAGTGGCACAGAGGGCAGCAGGAGGGGCGGGGCCGCAGTGGTACGTGGCGGTGCACATCACCCACGCCATGCAGACGTGGCCTCGCCTCGACTTCTCCCTCTCCGACGCATTTCAGGTGTGCCTCCTGCCCATCAGGTGTGCCTCCTGCCCATCAGGTGTGCCTCCTGCCCATCAGGTGTGCCTCCTGCCCATCAGGTGTGCCTCCTGCCCATCAGGTGTGCCTCCTGCCCATCAGGTGTGCCTCCTGCCCATCAGGTGTGCCTCCTGCCCATCAGGTGTGCCTTCTGCCCATCAGGTGTGCCTCCTGCCCATCAGGTGTGCCTCCTGCCCATCAGTTGCATGCACGTGTTAGTGAAGCTCTACTTCCGCTTGACCCCCCTCCACCTCTGAGCACCCCTCCCCCTTCCACTCCCGCCTGCTTCTGCCACGTGTGTGTCGCTCTTTGCTGCCCCTTACCCTTGCCACTCGCCTGCTCCCTCGTTTCCTCCCCACCCGCCCTTGCTGCCCCTCTCACGATGCCGGCCGGCAGTGGCTGGAGTTTGCGCGGTACAGCGGCGTGGCGCACGTGTTTTGGTACGACATGGCGGACGACCCCCGCGACCGCATGGTGAGCCGCGGAGATGGCAGTGGTGGGGTGGTGGGGAGCGGCGGGGAGAGCAGTGGGAGTGGTGGGGAGAGCAGTGGAAGTGGTGGGGAGAGCCGTGTGAGTGGTGGGGAGAGCCGTGTGAGTGGTGGGGATGGGGTTATGAAGAGTATTCATGTAGAGAAGCCCATGTCCACCATTCTCGGCCCCCGTCCCTCACTAACCCAGACCCCCCGTCCCCCACCCCTGTGTGCTGTTCCTCCACGCTTCTCTCATCATGAAGCATGCTTCTGCAACTTTTCTTTCTTGTGTCGTCATGCTCTCACATTTCCCAGGACACTCCATGTGTCCCCCCACGCCTGTTTTCCGCCTGACCCCCTTGTCCTCCATCCCTCCTGCCCAGCGCTCCTCTCACAACCCCACCCTTCTCAAACCCCCACCCTTCCTCCCCGCTATCCTTCTCACCCCTCACCTCTCACTCACTCACCCACCCACCCCTCTCACACCCCCACCCCCACTCACCACGGTTACCCCGTGCACCGCATGGCAGGAGGCGGCGTTGGAGGGGTACAAGCGGGACGGCTTCCTCACGTACCACCACTTCCCCTCGCTAGCTCCTTCCCTGCCCGCCCACCACGGGGCCACCCCCCACGACCAGGTCCGCTGCCCCCCTTGCACTGCACTGCACGCATGTGCCGCTCACTCTCCTCACCCTCCTCACTATGGGGTGTTTCCCTGTGCTCCATCGTTTCCTCCCCGTGTTATGCCTGCCTCCTGTGTGACCAAAACCACTACTGTCACGCCTTGCTCTCTTTCCGCCACTCTCCCTGCCCCACCCATCTTCACTCCCCATCCCTCATCCCTCTCCACTGCTCTCACATCCCTGCTGTTCCTCCTGCTTGTTGGCGCCCCTCGTCTCCGCTCACACCTGGCACCTCAGCCACGCGCACACCTGGCACCTCAGCCACGCGCACACCTGGCACCTCAGCCACGCGCACACCTGGCACCTCAGCCACGCGCACACCTGGCACCTCAGCCACGCGCACACCTGGCACCTCAGCCACGCGCACACCTGGCACCTCAGCCACGCGCACACCTGGCACCTCAGCCACGCGCACACCTGGCACCTCAGCCACGCGCACACCTGGCACCTCAGCCACGCGCACACCTGGCACCTCAGCCACGCGCACACCTGGCACCTCAGCCACGCGCACACCTGGCACCTCAGCCACGCGCACAGAGCACAACTGTGGCATCTGGCATCACCACACAGCATCAATCCACACCTCCCTGTCCTCTCCGCATCTCCTAACCTCCATTCATCCCTGCACTACTGCACGCCAGCAGCCGCCACCTGCCTTCGTGCCTCCGCTGCACCGCTTGTTTGCCAACCGCCTTCCACACCCCTCTCCCTCCATCCCTTCCTCACCGTCCCCACCAGGCGCTGCACCACTGCCTCATGCAACACGGCACCTGCACGATTGTGTGCCTACTGCCACTCACACCGGCACACCGCTCCACAGTCGCAAGGCACCTCAATGCGCGTTACACATCCCTCTCCCCCCACCCCTCTCCCTCTCCCCCCACCCTCTCCCTCTCTCCCTCCCACCCCTTTCCTCCATCCCCACCAGGCGCTGCACCACTGCCTCACCCATCACGGCAGCTCAGCCGTGTGGCTGCTGCCACTCACCCCGGTGGACTACCTCACTGTGCCGCCTGACATCAAGCCGGGCTTCACCGACCGCTTCCTGCGTGCCTACGAGGCCCGCCGCCCGTCTGCGTCCCAGCTGCTGCTGCAGACCTTCCTCTTCCTCGGCTCCCCCCAGGTGCTTACCCAGGTACCTCCCCAGGTGCCTCTGCAAGTCCTCCCCAGGTGCTTCCCAGGTGCCACCTCAGACCTCTGCCTCTACTCCTCTCCGCTCTCCTCCTCGCAACTCTCTTCGACCTCCCTTTCCTTCCTGTCCCTCTTACTCACGTACCGTGATCGCTCCCCCCTCCTCCCATCACCTTGAATACATCCAAGGCGTGCCATCCTCTGCCAACTCCTCCCTGCCATTCCTCTCATGTACTGCCTCCTGTTCCCTCTCCCTGCTTAATTTTTTCCACCTGCACTTAGGTCCCGCTTCTCCCATATCAGCCTTCCAGTCCTCCCATTTCTCGCACCTTTCCTCATCCCTCCGCCCCAGATTTTTTGTCCTTAAACACCCCTCTACCCCAAAACCCCTTTCATCATCCCTCATCCTGCAGTCTCCTTCCAACTCTCCCATCCTCCCCCAATCCTTCCCCATCCCCGCCCCCCACCCCACCCAACCCCTCAGAACTCCTCTGCTCTCCTAATCCAGCGCTACCAGCGCCGCACCAACCACTCCGATGGCGTGTCCCTCAAACCTCAGGCTCAGGTCGTGCCTGTGGTTCGGCCGAACCTGGTGGCCCGGGTGCTGTGGCACAACCCGAGCCACCTGCTCATGACAGGTGGCAGCACCATGGCGCTGCCAGCTGGCGCCATGCGGGTGAACCGATTCGCGAGTGCGCTGCAGCAGATGCCAGGCACAGGTGAGAGGGGATGGGTGGTGTGGGTGCATGCAGAGGTGAGAGGGGATGGGTGGTGTGGGTGCATGCGCAGGTGAAAGGGAATGGGTGGTGTGGGTGCTTGCACAGGTGAGAGGGAATGGGTGGTGTGGGTGCATGCAGAGGTGAGAGGTAATGGGTGGTGTGGGTGCATGCGCAGGTGAAAGGGAATGGGTGGTGTGGGTGCTTGCACAGGTGAGAGGGAATGGGTGGTGTGGGTGCATGCGCAGGTGAGAGGGAATGGGCGGTGTGGGTGCTTGCGCAGGTGAGAGGGAATGGGTGGTGTGGGTGCATGCGCAGGTAAAAGGGAATGGGCGGTGTGGGTGCATGCGCAGGTGAGAGGGAATGGGCGGTGTGGGTGCATGCGCAGGTGATGGCTGACGCATGGATGAGGATGTGCGAGTGGGGAGCAGTGGAAGGGGCAAATGGCACGACACTGATTCAGGTGTCGCTGCATGCTCTCCTAGCCGTTACGTGCGGTCCTTCCAGTTCGCAGGGGATTCTGGATCCTGTCATATCCCCTCCCACACTTCTTCCTTTCTTGCACTGTTTCTGATTGCACCTCTTCTGCGTTATTGTACTCATTCTTGCTCTCCTTTATGCCACACTGTCATGCTGCCATGCTACGATGCTGCCATGTTGCCGCAGCAGGCGCAGAGCCCGGGGCGGACATGGTAGTCGACACATCACTGCAGCCGTTGGTGCCGGAGCTGACGATGATGCTCGAGAGGAGCCAGCAGGCAGGCAGGATTAAACTCTCCGGTGCCACTGCACATGGCACTCTCGGTGGCTTCAACTGGTTTCGAAGCTAAGTGAGCGGTCACGCAGATTGGCATCACAATTTGTATAGGATGGGTGTAGCATGATCAATATGCATGGTGTAAGCTATTCAGTGTGAACCTGAAGAAAGCATCCAGTTGTTCATGCAGAAAGCCAACTCCATATCTCTTTCTGTGTGTTACAGCAATGCCTGAACAGGTTCTACTGAAGCAGCTGAAAGCTGTGATTGTCTTGAGCAATGTGTGTGTACAGGCCATCTTGATTGGGACCGTGCCGTTTGAGGGGTTTTTTTATCATGGTACATTACTCTGTTTCTCTGAAAATCAGAGTACCGGTAGTTTTTGAAAGTAACTCTGTACCTGCTGGGTAATTAGTATTCCTCTGATTTGTCAGAGTTTTTTTGTAGACCATGTTCCAGGGTTTCGTTTTTGCCAAAACCAACACCCCCTCCCTCCCCACCCCCCTCCCCTCTCTGCCACCTCCCCTTCCCACTCCCCCTTATCCCCCGATTACATTTTTTCCCCCAAACCGCCCAGGATAAATGGTTTCTCGCATGTCTTGGCGGCATCTTGCGCGTTGATTGGCTGGAATCTCAACTTTCGGGCCAGCGCACGCTGAGATCCACCCTTTTGTACTTTGTTGGATTTTGTTGTCATCAGAAGTTGTACTTCTCTCTGGTTACGGGCATGATTCAGCAGCTACCAGGCCCGGACCGTTTTCCAGCGTGACGCACTGTTGAGTCCCTATTGCTCGGCTGGCTGACGGGGTGAACACTGAACCCCACTTCGTACTGCCATTTTCGCCATTCCCGTTGCTGAACTCACCATCCCACTTGTTTCAGATTATATTGTTTACAGTGGGCTTCCGCAAACAGCCCCGCCTCCTCTAGATAACACTACCATGACCACGATGGATAGCGAGGTCGACGCTGACGTTACTGAACCTGATGACCAGCGGCAGCTCTCGCCAAATGTCTGGGCTTCAGTTTCTTCGTGGGGTGCATCGTGCCCACATGCGCGATGATGAGCATTCGAACGGCGTTGAAGAATGGGTTCGATCACCACGCACGGAAGAAGGAGGACCGGATGACGAGATCGAGGTGTGGATTTGATCGCCGCGCATGGAGCAAGAGGCTGCACCGTCCGACGGGATCGAATACTGGGTTCTATCGCCGCGAACGGAGGACGTTGCTGAGCCGGCTGCAACAGTTCCAATTGAGGTCATTGATGCAACCATGAAGGAGTCGAGCGGCTTAATGGCGCCAAAGAAGCGAAGGCTGAAGCAGCAAGTGCTGCGGTGTGGCACACCGTGTCCGAAGCCTACTGCTCTTGCTCCCATCCTGGCAAGTGGTCCGCCACGCATCTGTCCCCTTTATGATGAGGAGAAGGCGTTCGTGATGGCGCGGAAAAGTTTTACATCGTAATGGCTGCCTCAATTCGATTGGTTAATTCTGCAACAAGGGTATGCAACGAAACGACCCAAGCACCGCCTCCATGAGAAGGCCACAGACGAGCACCAGCAACGACTTCCAGTGGGAGGGCGGAGAAAAGGCAAGACCGCGTGTTGCACCCAGTCCATTATGAGGGTTGCATCCATCCACCCTCATTTTTGGGCTCGGATGAGCGTGCCTCCCAGGAAGGAAACAGGAAACAATAAGCTAAACGTTCAGTCAACGAACTCTGAAAAAACACACACACACACACACACACACACACACACACACACACACACACACACACACACACACACACACACACACACACACACAAAACAGCACATCTATGAACGCTAAGTTACCTTGCGGAACTCGATTGTTGGGTACAGCTTTGAGTTTGAGGGTGGAAGCTTCCACCCATCAGCGGTGACTGACAGCCTTACCGTCATCCACTCCTTCTCATAGCCCGTCATTCAAATCTGGACGGTCCTCTCGCCAGGGTGGTGCAGCGTCCTCTCATGGGGCATTTCCAGGAACACTGGCATCTAGTCAGCATTCACGATGTTCCATGGTTCGATACTGTGGTCGACTAGCTACTTGCGACAGAATTTCCAAAAGCACTTGCTTTTGGACTTGCAATCTACGCGCCACAGCACCGCATAACAAAATGAACCAGAGAGTACGAGCTTGTCGGGAAAAACGCTTCACATAAAAATATAGGAAAAGTGGAATCGGTTTTAACGATCGGTTTTGAGACGCTGGCCTATCCTCGTTTTTACCCTGACGGTGAAGCCCCACCTTGCTCGGAACTACTGGGTACAGCGGGGAGATGCACGTCGGTCCATTCGGGTGTGCCAATTCTTCATCTAATAACGGCTCCATAGCTGCAAGAGTTTCAGGGGGACCGCCAGGCCGCGAGCACGGTAGGAGAGGAATTGGCTGTAAATTTAGCCATCAACCAACTCGAGTGTCAAGTTTAGCATCACCCCACTGATTGCAGTGTTATTTGTAGAAATGGTAGCTTCGGACATGTGATGCAGTAAAGGTCGCCCCATTGACCACATTTTCTCATTAACATGATGACACCTGTGTCTTTTAAAGTATCAATGTTAAAGAAGCGAATACCGTACTTTCTGTCATGCCGTAATCTCCCCTGGGTCTTCTAAAAAATTATGGGAAACTGGCTAGGATGGACATTAGGAATGGCACATATTTTAAGAACCCTAGACAGTTATAAGTGACAAGTGCAATGTTTACCACACATAGCTGAATTCGTGGCAGCGCTGCCCGACACCCTGCCTCAGACCGCCCGTCGCGCTGCCCTAGGCCGTCCGATGCTGCACGTCATCCTGCATTTAGCCGCCTGACGCACTGCTGCCACGTTAGCCCAGTCGCCCGCTGTGACCCTACATGCTGCAACTGAGATATCTGCAGCTCGTTGGATTTGCTGCAGTGGTTCGTCCTTGCTGCAGCGGCTTGCGCTTGCTGCGACTGCTCGCGTTGCTGTCACTGCACACTCGCTAAAGCTGCTCGCACTCGCTACAGCTGCCGCACTCACTGCATTAGCACGCACTGTTGCCCTTCCCGCACACTAGTAGTGCGCTGCAGCCTACTGCCCATTCTGCCACGTTACCTGCACAGCTTGCGCTGCCAGCCCACCCGTACCTGCCGCCACCAACGCCACCATAGCAAGTGCAACAGCACCAATGCCAGCAACTATCGTGGTCTATAGCTATCAAAACATATTCACATTATAAATGCATGCAATGAAGCCGTAGTGTAGTTAATGTCTGATCGAAATGGTGGTGCACCTTTTTTCCTTGTTTGGTATTTCCCATCCGTCCTTGCCTTTAATAGTAAAACTTCTCTCTCACCAATTCCACTCTTTCTAAACCTTTAGTCTCGACGTAGCTACTACTATCTCAACTGCAGTTGCTACTGCTGTCGCATTTGCTACTGCTGCCGCATTTGCTGCCCTCTACATAGCTGCCTGAGTCGCATGAGCCACCCAAGCTGGCCGAGTCGCCTTTAGCCACCCTTAGCCGCTCTTGCCGCCCGTGCTAGCTGGCTGCCCTTGCCTGATCCCTCTGTGCTTCTTCCCTTATCGCCTCTGCCCTTCTGTCCTCTCCCCGGCCCACCCGTTTTCTCCCCTCCCCTCCTCTCCTCTCCCCTAAAACCCCCACCCCCCTCACCCTCGACTAATTCCTTCACCTTGGAACCCTCCACTCCTAACCCTCTACTCCTCCCGTAGTCGCGTCCCCTGCCACCTCCTCTCGCTCCCTCCCCACAACCAAGCCCAAACTGGAAGGTAGTGCCCTATGGGCCTGAAGCCACAACCAAACCTGCTAGCCCTCCTTCTGGTGCCCTTGCTTGCCCTCCTGCCCTCCTTCTAGTGCCCTTGCTGGCCCTCCTACTACTGCCCCGACTGTCACCTCTCCTCCCCCCCACTGACCTGTCCCTCATGCCGTCCCCTGTCCCCGCACCCTTCACCCAGCCCGAACTCGCGGTTGCTGCTGTCCCTGCGGCACCCCTCCACCCGCCAAGCTCGAACCCGAAGGCGGTGCCCCCCGAGCCTGGAGCCCTTCCTACCCTGCTAGCCCTCCTGCTGCTGCCCTTGCTATCCCTCTTGCTGCTGCCCCTGCTAGCCCTCTTGCTGCTGCCCCTGTTGTCCCTGCAGTTGTCCTTGCTGTCCCCAACCCTAAACCCTTATTGACCTGCCCCTCCTACCATCCCCTATGCCCACCAGCCATCGCCTTGTCCAACCCTCTTGACACTGCTGTCCATGCTGATGCTGCTGCTGCTGCTGCTGCTGTCGCTGCTGCTGCTGCTGCTGTCGCTGCTGCT